ATCAAATCAAAATAAGAGTGAGATTTTGTCTAAAAGTGTGCTTATTGAATGTTTTGATATTATTGGAGCAAGAATATTAATCCTGATAAATTACTGTTTAAAATATGGAGAATTTCCAACAAGAGTGAAGTGTTCTACCATAACTCCTGTTTCTAAAGTTAAGAATTCTGAGTGGTGCACCAATATGCGGCCAATAAATGTTCTGCCAGATGTTGAAAAAGTTTTTGAAGAAATTATTTACGAACAGATCATCGAATTTATTGAGAGAAATAACATGTTAAGCTGAATTCAGGAAGAAACACTCAACTGAAACAGCAACACAAATGGTTTTAGAGGACTGGATGAGATGTATGGACAATCGGAAACATACAGTAACAGTGTTTTTGGACTTCAAAAGGGCGTTTGAGACTATTGATACGGATAAATTACTTACAAAATTGCATCACTACGGATTTAAAGGATCTGTATTCAAAATTCTTCAAAACAATTTAATTGACAGAAGTCAAAAAACCAAAATTGGACCTACATTATCAAGATCAAAAAATATTTCTGTTGGTATACCACAAGGTAGTAAACTAGGTCCACTACTATTTATTTTATACATTAATGACATTTGTAATATTTTAGATTATTGTAAACTTCAGATATTTGCAGATGATACATTGATATAGGTGTACATATCAGATGAAAATATAGACACTGCTTTAAAAATGCTAAATTCTGACTTGGCAAAAATCGTATTGGTTAAATGTAAATAAACTAAAATTGAATACTTCTAAAACAAAATGTTTGCTAATAGGGAAATAACTAAATGAAAATACTATCACAGTTAGGATAAATGAAGAAATAATTGAAAATGTTGAATCAATTAAATATTTAAGTATATATATACAGGGTGACTTTGAAGTTGAGTCATTAATTTTCAGATAATGATTGTAGAAGGAAGATAAACCAAAATATGTGTGTAAAAATAAAAAAAAAATTTACCTTGTTTTATAAAGTATCCTCCCGACAAGTATTTCAGTGCGGACCTGTATTTGATCGTGAGGTCTTGTCCCCTGTGAGGTCTTAAGTCACCTGATTCACGAGCCCGTTGTACTACATTAACAAAGGCACGAGGGGTTGGTTGCACTCGATTGGGAAACCGATCTGCATAAACATGTGCCATTTTTTATTTCGTTTGAGCCACGCAGCAACACCACTATTCACTCACGCGTTAGCGACTGACAGAGACTGAATAAAAACATCGTGATCAGCGTTTCAAATTCTTTCGTTTTTTTTGTTTCCGATGCGATGAACCAATAAGGCGGATTATATCCGTTGTTGCCAAACACGAGCACATAATAATATTATTATTGAGACAGGGCGGTACTCAAACTTCTAAAGGGCTATAACTTTGTTACTTTAATTTTACCACAAAAATGTTAAAGGAAAAAACATTTCTTTTGATCAGATCTACTCACTGTTAAAATAAATTACTCAACTTCGAAGTCACCCTGTAACGTATATATATATATTGATAGTAAACTAAAGTTTGAGGATCACTATGAGTACATTATTTCAAAAATTGCCAAAAAAACAAATTACTCCTGTAGGGCTTCTCATAGTCTTGGTGCCTATTCCAAGAAAATTGTTTATAATACAATTATTCTACCGCATTTACTATATTGTTCAACTATTTTGTTTACTGCCAATGAAGCTGTATTCCCAAAATTACAAATATTTCAAAATAAAGCTCTATGAGAATAATATTGATAAAAATAAGTACACCAAAATAAAATCTATGTTACAAGTATTGCAGTGGTAGAATATAAAAAATGTCATCATATTTGGTTCTTATTTTTATATTTAAAATAAAAAAATCATCTTTTGCCAGAACATTTAGAACACTACATAGAATTGAATAATCATTACCACAATTATTATACAAGAGGAAATATAGATTTCCATTTACAAAATTGCAATAGTAATATAACTAGCAAATCAATATTTCAGAAAGGATTAGTTGAATTTAATAAATTAAATAATGATAAAAAGTCTACTTGTAATTTAAAGATATTTAAAAGAAAATTAAAGGAATATTTCATGGACAATGAATGTCTGTATGTTATGTAATTGTTTAGTTTTTTAGAAGAATGTAATTGTAGCAATCATGCTAAATAAATCTTAATCAATCAAACAAAAAAATGTGAATGGAATTTTATGTAGAATCGGAATATTGAGTAATATAAAGGGTGTCCAATTTAAAATAAGCAAGTTGGCATCAACTTCCGGTATAACCGGAGGTGTCACCATCTTGAAAATATTTTAGCTGCCGTTGCCCCATTGACATTAGTATACTCCCAAATTTTCATATGCCTACTTTTCGAGAAATCTATCGATGGAGTCCCCAATGCGACACCCTGTATATCTAAAAGAAACAAACGTTTTTTTTTTCGTTTAAAGTTTTTTGTTTTTTAAGAAACATTTCTAGTTTTTTTAATATACTCAGTTTTCATTAAAATCACGATTTTTGCTGCAATTCTTTTATAGGGACACCCCTCTTGAACCCACACTTTCAGTCGGTCCCGTTGGTGTCCGTCCAAAGGAGATTTCACTATACTGTATACTAAAAATTCTATAAGATAGCGTTGTACCCTATTTGATTTTCAAGTGTTCAAGCTCGAGAAATTCCGTTTTTATGCTTATGGTTGCTCAGGTTTATAATAAACTAGCAGGGAGGCAATTAAACTGAACAAGAAAGTTCAAGTACTGTTCATCATCATCATTACTGATATACAAGGTGTTCAATTTCATTTCTTTTAAAAGACTTTTTTTAATTTCTTCTACCCACAAAAAACAAGCGGCGTTCTTATAATTGAGTCCAATGAAACCAATATTTCAAGAACGAAACCGTGAAATACATAATAGACATCAACTTTTTTGTTCAGCCCACTATATACAGAATCGTGAAAAACAAAAACTGGAAAGTGCACAAAATTAATACATATATAAACTTTTGAATATATAATATTTTAAACACATTCCACTAGAAATCTTAAAAGCCTGTTCACCTTCCCAGGGTTCAGAGATATAAAACTACGAACGCTCGACTATAAAGTCCTCGACGCTAATATAGTGTGAACAAATGTATACTGTTTTCTAATGCATTTGAGGTTTTTCTTTTATCTTCAGGGGAACAACGTTTTTGGTGACTGCATTTGTACTCGGGTGAAGAGTAATCCTTAGGAAATCAGCATCAAATACTCCTTAAATATCACACATTATAATGTATTTTATCCTTAAAGATAATAATAATAATAATAATAATAATAATATTTATTTACTCTAAAATACAGGGAACATGAAACGAGTAAATAAATATAATATATCCATAGGAGGACAATGCCTGTGCATGGATCATATGTATGTTGAATTGCAAAATATAATAAAATAGAGAGAACAAAGAAATTATTGGTAAGAATGGTAGAGCATTTATTGTGTAATACTTGAGATTATTTTATTAATTTGATTTCTCCCAATCGTGTTAATAAATTTTTTTAATTTTTTTTTGAAGCCTAATGTATTGCGTAATTGTTTTAAATTATTTGGTAAATGTTCGTACAATTTTGGAGCTATATACAGGTGACATCGTTTCATTAGGGATTTGTTTGGTTTAGGAACATTTTTTGCGCGTAATTTATATCTGGTTTTATGATTATGTTTAATTATGTCGTGTTCACTAATAGTTTTGTGATAATGAGTGATGGTATGTAAGAAGTAAAGTTGTTTAGTATCATATACTTGTGCATCATTATATAAGTCATTAGTTGGGTATAATTTTGATTTGCCTAACATTGATTTTAAAATTCTTCTTTGAAGTACATCTAAATCGTTAAAGTATGTCGTGCATGCAGCACCCCACACTACTATACCATATTTTATGTGTGGCTCGATTAAAGCTTGATATATTATTCGTAGATAATATTCAGTTAATATACCGGTTAGAAATTTTATTTTATATGCTATGAATCTAATTTTCTTTAGTATGTGAGAAATATGTACATCCCATCTCAAGTGGGGATCTAGATAAATTCCTAAATATTTTGTATCATTAACTCTATTGATTTTTATATTTTTATCATTTACCTTAAACCGAAGGTGGTTATATTTTGGTAGATGATTAGATAGTGATGAAAATGGTAAAAAATGAGTTTTAGTAAAGTTAATTGTTAATTTCCGGTTATTAAACCACTGAATAATTTTGCAAAAGTCATTTTGGATAATATCTTTTAAGTCGTTCCAATCCTTACCTTTATAGAGTATAGCAGTATCGTCTGCAAAACTGACTATTTTACCAGTACTGTTAATTTTGAATATATCGTTTAAATAAATATTGAATAACAGAGGACCCAAAATTGTACCTTGTGGAACACCACATTTAACAAACATTTCTTTACTATACGAGCTTAATAATTTTACTGATTGCGGTCTATTTGATAAATAATTTTCCATTAAAGTATACATCTTTCCACGAAAACCTATTCTTTCTAAGATTTTCAAAAGTATATTGTGGTTAACTGTGTCAAACGCTTTTTGTAAGTCCACAAATACGCATATCGATGGCACTTTTCCATCTATATTTTGGGTTATTTCATCTACTATACTTAATACCCCATCTGTTGTAGATTTGCCTGCTATAAAACCATATTGATTTGAATTTAGAATTTTGAATTTATTAAGAAAATTAATCATTTTATTAAGGAGTAATTTCTCAAAAACTTTAGCTAAACTTGATATAAGTGAAATAGGTCGATAGTTAGTGACGTCCGTATTATCATTAGATTTATAGATAGGTATGATGATTGCTGTCTTGAAAGCTGATATTCCATTGCTTTAAATACATACTTCTCTCTAAATTAAAATGTACAATTAATGATATAGTAATGTATCTTTGTACAATTCTATCACTCCATTATAAGATTATTTTTGTTTTGTTCTTTCATTGGAATTTTTCATACCTGAATCTTGTAAGGCACATTAGCGGCCTTAGCTTCTTTGACCAGCAATGCAGCGACAAGTGACGAATCGAGACCACCAGAAAGAAGACAGCCAATCCTTCTATCGGACATAAGCCTCTTTCGAACAGCTGATATGAGAAGTTTCCTAATATTGCCAGTATGGTCGTTTGGTTTCAAGTCTGTAAACAGCAAAAGTTCAATATACCACTATAGAAATCAGAAATGGAAGAGAAATTTACTTGAGGTGATTAAGCTGCACTTTTAAAAGTATATACAGTCTGCAAAAATCAAAATTTCGCCATTATTTGTTAGCCTACCAAGCAAGGTTAAAAATTACTTTATACTAAACTAGCCTAAAATACTCTTCCTGAAATGTTTATACTTTAATGTGGATGCTCGACAACCTCAAAAATAACAGTTTTTAACCGAGTTTTTCGGCATTATAACTTGGAAATGGTCATCTTTAGAAACAAGTCGCTAAGAGCATTTCTTCTCAGAATGAACCGGTAATCCTAAAAAAGCTGCCAGGAGCGAAGAAAAAATATTTTTGTTAATTGTTTAAAAAAAATGTTCAAACAAATTTGCACTGGGTTCCAACAAATTGATTATGAAAAAAAAGATGGGGTTGGAAAATGTCCCTCACAAATGCGTGCAAAAATGTCCTTAGTAACAGTTCTCTAAAGCTGATCGTTTTTGAGTTATAAGCAATTTAATGTCTGAAAAAGCCTAAGTGGTCATTTTAAATTAACAAAAATCATTTTTGACCTTACCGATTGTCATAAGGGCATCTGTTTTTTTCCGCAAAAAATAGAACAAAAAAGTTGCTAAGTAATATTTTAACAAAAAGCAGGAGTGCTGATGGCAACAAACGAAAAACAAAACGAACGTTTTTTGTTAAAAAAATATTACTTTGCATTGTTTTTTCGACTTTTTCACAGGACAAATTAGATGCCCAAATGGTATTTGACAAGACTATTTCATGAGTAGCTGCTTTCCGGTGTCCTGAGACCATAATTTCTTGTTATCAACGGTATTGTAATTTTTGGTGACAACAGCTGTCATGTTTTGCCGCGGGTAAACTCGAAAAAAACTGCTGACAGGTACTGACATACAATTTTTCCATCAAGAAACCATTTGTGATTGGTAGAAGTCAAAACGAGGGAAATAGTCTATATTAAAGCTCAAACCTACCACTACAAGATCCCAAAGACTATTTTAGGCTTACTTTATTTTCAAGAAGTTTTTAACATTTCTTGGTGGACTAAAGGCCGTCTGTCACGATACAAAATTCTGTTCATAATTTGGTACCAAATTTTGTGATAGAATACGTTACTGAATTTATTTCGCAATTTGTTTACAAATCACCATTGATGAATAATAAAAATGAATAGAGCGCATCATTTATATCTAGTTGTAGAAGTCGGATTATTGTTTTTTTTTTCTACCTGACCTAGGGGTACTTTACACTCTCAGAACATAGGCAGCTTTTTATATCTCCCACCTAGTTAGAAACAGAGTTACAAGCTAAATATGAATGAATAGTGTTGTACTAGTAGCTATTAGGTCATTTCTTCGGAACCGTCGAAGGGGTGGGCTTCACCTCTTGAACATGAAAAATGTGTTTTTTGCATGTTTCACCTAGCCAGCAAAAAAGTTACTGGCTAAAAATGAATCAAAAGTGTTCCTTTCATTAGTAGCTATGAGCCGTGATTTTTAGCCTGTAACTTTTTTGCTGGCTAAGTGAGAAATGCAAAAAATCAGCATTTTTGACGTTCAAGTGGTGAAATCATCCCCTTCGACAGCGCCGAAGATGAGAACTTTTTCATGTTCAAGGGGTGAAGTCCACCCCTTCGACGGGTCCGAAGAAATGACCCAATAGCTACCAGAAATAAATATAACCTGAACACAATTAAACTGTTTTACGACTGCCTACTCATCATTGTGAGCTCAATCCGATTGAGCTCATTTGGGCAGACATAAAAAAATATGCTGCAGCAGAAAATAAGTTTTAACTTTTCTGATTTTAAAAATATTTTTCATTATGCTATACAAAGGATAACACCGAATAAGTGGGAAAAATGTATTCAGCATGTAAAAGGTCGAACCTAAAATGTGGGAATTAGACGGTATCATTGATACGCACGTTGCCCGGTTAATCATAAATCTTGATGACAGTGGGAGTTCCACGGCCTCAGATCTACAATGACTTTTATTTTCAAATACTATATGTATTTCCAGTTTTAGAGATAAAATGTTTATGCAATAAATTTTTGTATAATATTTAGTATATATTATTACGTATTCAAATCCTTTTTCTTTCAACCCCACCTATCTATTCATTTTTTAGTCTAATATTTAAATTAACTGCTTGCACACTGACGTCCCTGTTCAAGCGGTGGTAAGGTATATGCATATGCAATTATTTTTTAATGTGTGAAAGCATTATTTAAAAGCCTGCTTTATAAATACGCCTTACGACACATTTCGAGTATAATTTCTTGATAAAACACTTCTAGTAAAAACAACAATAGACAGTTGTTGTTTTTGGTAATGACAGTAAAATTAAAAAAATATATTAATTCCAACCTTTACGTTTGGACCCTATACATGCCTGCAATAATTTTGCATACTTTTTGATCGTGTCGTAAAACTACATCATTTATTCTTAGTACGGCGCTGTAACGTGATCGCCGCTCTGAAGCGCTATCACGTGGAGTATACGTGAATTTGTTTAGGTTTAGTCTCTTTCTTCAATGGATACATAATAGTAAAACACTATTTATTTTTAGCTTGTAACTGTCTCTAACTAGTTGGGAGATATAAAAAGCTGCCTATGTTCTGAGGGTGTAAACTACTCCTACGTCAGGTAGAAAAAAACAATAGCCTGACTTCTACGCCTACATATAAATGATGCGCTTTATTCATTTTTATTATTCATCAATGGTGTTAGCTTTTTTTGAAAAGCTATATTTCTCGTACCCGTTTAGTAGTATGTCACACTGCTCTTTTGACCTTGACATCATTTAAGTTTTTCAATCTACATGTAGAACTGCTCACAGCCTAAGCAGGGGAGTTTCGCGAAACTGATGAACACAGCTGATCCCAGCAACTGCTGAAAGTGCTTGATGTTAGGCTTGTTTTGTTAACCAATTATCAAGAGACTATCAAGTAGTTAACACAAAACATGGAATTCCTTGTCACTTAGCGCTTCTATCAGCCATTGTGCAGCTACAAATGCGCAGTAAGCGTCTGCGCACTTTTAGCACGATATTATCTAGAACAGGTTCTAAAAAATTAGCACTCAATTTTTTCAAACAAAATTATGTACTAAATGTTGTCTGACACTATCCTTTATTTTATATGAAATTTAGCATACTAAATGTAGCACAAAATTTCGTATCGTGACAGGCGACCTTTAGAAATGGCGAAGTGTTGATTGTCGCATATTGTACCACCTTGTGCAAACGTGTATGCCCCACGAAACATCGAATGACATAAATATGGTGATAACTGACGTGATTGTTTTAAATTAATATCGTCGTGGTCGTGACGTCTACTAAATATCCAGTCATGTAAGACGGCAAGCAAAGAAATATCACATTTTATCTATACAATGTGTTCTGTATTCTTAAATATGTTTTTGCGTTTAATCTGGCAACACTGTATCGAATGACAATTGTATGCAAACAACAGTCGCGGATTGTTGCAATCAGAGCAAAGTGCAATCGACGCTATTCCGTCCGTGCTCCCGCCATTTGTAGGCGGCGCCCGCGTATTGCTGCTCCTAGTTCTAAGTACCGAGTATTCCCAAAGCTATAGAAAATTAGGCCATTGCCATTCAAAGTTTCAGGCAACATGTCTTTAATTATCTAGCACATTGTGTATAGTACCATGTGTGTTACCCGTAGTATTACACAGCTCATAGGGTGTAAAAATGGCAACATTATCGTAGAGTTACCCACCCCAAATGTGTGAACTAGTAAAGTGATAAATGCAATAAGTCGTCTTTTGTCGCGCTAGGCCAGCAAAAGACAGCCAGTGTTACAACGTATAGCCATATGGTGCTCCATATGTGTAATACAACTGGTAGGTAACACACAGTATGATTTTTTGAAGAAGCTAAAACTGATTATTCGTCATAAATAGTAGACGTTACTTTAATGTCATTCATGATCAGTTTGTAGTCATTGACACGTGCTTGTGCGACCTGGGTGATTAATATTACCTTCGTAGAGTATAAATGGCTCAAATGCAGGTCTATCGCCAGGCGAGAAATATCGTTTACTTTGCACTAGTTTGACTGTTCCGTTTTCCAAAAGATCGTACTCTTCAAAAGTTCCTGGTGCAAAGGGCTCCAGTTTTTTTCTATCTCCTTTCAAATCATATTCAATTTCAATCAATCCTACGGACAAAAACCTGTATACAAAATAGAAAATATTTCTGTAATTTGCAGTTGTTTAGAATTGGTAGACCATGGCCTATACATATTTAAAAGTGGATAACATGGAAATCTCAGATAGTGTTAAAAACATGCCACTATGGCAATAAATATGAATTCACAGCAACTGTTATACAGCTTAGTGCAATTCACTTTTAAAATTCTGAAATGATTATTCATTTGGCACAAATGTGAAGAACACTAACCTTTAGCTTCCGAACAGATGCCAAGTACACCAGCCTCGTTCAATACTGTGAATAAAGGTCGGACACCAAATGGATCTCTACCCAGGAAGACTTTTTGTTTGCCGATATCGATTATGCAGAATCCGAATACTCCATCCAGATTTTTAACGCATTCCTCTATTCCAAATTTGTGATACAAGTGCAAGATACATTCTACGTCGTTGTAGGTTTCGTAATCAAATCCATACTGTTGACCCAACTACAATATGTTCCAAATAATCGTTAGTGTTAAATCCTGATGAGAGAGAGACTAGAGCAGGTTTCAGTCTCTAATTATTGACGGTTATAGGCTTCATGAATTTTCACTGATATCAATTCTTTCATCTTTATCAGGATCTATAGTTTCCAATAATACAGATTCCTACATAATCCCAAAATTATGAACAGATATAAATATTCTCAGAACAGTTTATACAGATTCTTTTTGCAGAATTACGCCCAGGTCCAAGACATACACATATAAAATTACCTTTTTACAGTTATACAATTCTCCATTGCATATCAACATAGAATAAGGGAATTTATGAAGTTTCATAGGCTGCATTCCATAAGTAGTGTCGACAATTGTTAACCTGTGAAATCCAATGCAACAGTTCTGAAAATTAAAATAGTTTATAATTCATTTTGGTTCATGGACTCGGGTGGAGTAAAGACATACTTTCACCCTCTGATCATATTCCAATCTCCATGCATCTGGGCCTCTATGTGATATTTTGCAAAATGTTTTGGAACATTGTGAGTGCAAATTAGATGTTGATCCAAAAACTGCCCAAATGCCACACATTACTTAAGAGGTACCTGAAACGAATGAATAAGTATCACATTTGTCGTAACATATTGTATACAGAGTGTTCCATAAGGAAACGGATATAGTGAACTGCTACCTATCATGAACAGGCCTTCTCAAACCTGAAAATAAAATATAAGTGAATTGGATTCAAAACGTTTGATAAGGCAAAAATAGTAACAGAATATAATATTGGAACCTATCAATAGACTTGATAGCATTTTTCAAATGCTTATTATATATGATGTATGTTATTTTATAGAATAAAAGTGGATGAAAAAGCATGTTTTAATGACTAATTCCTATATAACGAATACATAATTTTTAAAGTTAGCATAATCAACAACACAGGGGGGGGCGGTGGCAAGTGTCACTAATCAGATATCTGTAAACAACCATGGTTTTAGTTTCGTCTGTTGTGTCTTAGTTTGAGGCGCAATCGTTAGATGCCGCTGTTAATGGTGGATGGTACCAGGAATCATAGGAAAGAGTGTAGCCATCTACACTAAAAACCAAATACCACGATTCTCAAGCTTCTCTAACGTACACATTACGTCAGCCAAATTTGAAGCTCACCATATATGTAGCTACTGTAAAATATTGTCTTTTTCACCAGTATCCATTACGGTAGAATAACATGCATGTGAAGGTAGCTCTAAAAGCTGGATCCACAATCGTACGCGCCGCAAGAACACAGCAAACCGAATAAATGTCGGCGAGTGGGAGTGCCATACGCCGTGCCCGTAGCGTTACTCGCAGCAGCTATTGCATTAGGTAGTTCTGCAGAGTTCGTACGTTGGTATCTAAAACTACTCGTATCTAAAGCTATTCGTATACCTCAACCCAAAACAAAAAAAATCTGACTGAAATCTAGGAAAAAAAAAGTTTCATGAAAAGTTGAAGAGATGCGATTGTGTTGTTCAGGGTTCAAAGTACACAACATGAGCTCAGTTATCAAAAAGTAGTGAGAAACAGTTTTACACCCCAGCTCCAAAGAGAGAATGCCGTCATGCACGGTGCGCGCTACTCCCTGAAATCTAGGAAAACATTTTTTTTGTAAAAAAATGAAGAGATGCGTTTTACACCCCAGCTCCAAAGAAGAAAAATTTACCTAGATTTCAGGGAGTGGCGCGACCGTACACGCTTGTTTGTTTTGAGTTGAGGTGTACGAGTAGCTTTAGATACGAACGTACGAAATCTGCAAAACCACTTAATGCAATAGCGCAGTAGCATAAGACTCATACACATACATAGCATACATATAATCATTGATAAGATTGTGGAGCTACCTTCACATGCATTAGAATAACAGCTGATTAGGCCACGCAAGACAACTGTTATTGAAATATACTCTACTATAATCTATCCAACGAATGTACGGAGTAATAAAACAAGTGACAGGGCAGCCCGATTCACACCGCACAACCACCTGCAAAACCGATAATGCGTTATTGCCAGTGGCATGTAGGTTTTAAAATTAATTGAGGTACCATTTAATTTATTTTCACTGTTTCTTATACCTCTTCATTACTTTCCAGGTGCTATAAGGTTTATTACATTGATATAATATGCTGCCCCAGTTTACGTTAACTTTACATATTTTTTATATTACAAAAATAATTTTAATACATGGGAAAAAAATAAAGCAAAGAGCTCAAAAATTAAATTCTTTTTTAGATTGGATTCTGGATCTTTTTAATATCATAGCAAATAATGAATCTACCTGCATTCATTACCACGTTTATTTCGACGGCTCTATCCGGATAGACTTTAAAGTGGATTATCAAAATCATGTGTAATCCTGACCGTTTATTTCGGCAATCCACAAGTCAAACCAAAACTGATAACGTCAACAGACAGAGGCTCCTTCTAAATTAGCTGTCAAGATTAACACAGGATTGGGATAACCTACTTCGAAGTCTATCCGGATAGAGCCGCAGAAATAAACATGGTAATTATATGTAAGTATGTCTGAGGATCTAGGTCCTTTGTCATTATAGTAAATATACAAATTACATTTATTAACTAATCGCTATCAGTATCAGTATAATCTGAAGATTCTGAATCGTTTCCTAAGTTAATAATCACTTTCCATACATTGGTCAGTTGTACCACATTTTTTCTTCCTCCTTCTCAACATGTTCGATTGCTTTTTTCCAATTTTCCGGAGTTATATTTTGTACCGCGGTGTAAAAAAGCTGCTTTGCATCTGCGATCTTGAAAATTGTGTTTTTTCTGGAAACTTCGTTTTTAATTTGCGCCCAAATTAACTCGATTGGTAGATTTAGCCATTTCGTCGATGACATACTTGTCAGCACGTTGTCAAAGGGAACATTATACCTTCGTAGCCATTTTCTGTGTCCACTGTTTGGCGCTTTACCAATACGCCTACTATGGTATGAAGCATTGTCCATAACAATGACAGCATTCTCTTCTAGATAGCTTATAATATTTTCAAACCATTCTTCAAATAAATTGGCAGTCATATCGGCGTGGTAGTCTCCTGCTTGTTTTGATTCAAATACCAATAGTCCGTCTTCCATGAAGCCATTATCAGATCCGATGTGTAAGATAATTAGCTGTTTTCCTTTACCTGAAGCATTTTTTACTCACGTTGAGAGACCTTCCAGGAAGGCTTGCCGTGGATGCTCAACTGATGAATCCACCCATACTTTGCTAACAGTGTGCCCTGCATTGAGCCAAGTCTTGTCTAGGTAGTATATCTTCCTGCCTTCTTCTCTATACTTATAGATTTCGCGTAAGTATCTACGTCTCCACCATATTATCTCGTCTTTTAAGATGCTATTTTGCTTCCTTCCTACAAAACCAAAAATTACATTTAATCTTTAAATTCGTTAATTCAGTGAACCATATTATACGAATAACGAATTTAAGGTGATTCATCTTAACAAAATTGCAAATTTAGTTTAGTCATAAAGTATATATAAAGAATGATGAAAAACATAAAAAACTCTAAACTGTTTTTGTGTGTGAACATTTTAAGGATTTTTTTAGTTTTGTATTTTTCTTTCAAGGAGAAATAAAAAACATAATAAGTTTTTTGTACAACACTTACCGAAAATTAAGTTCCTTCATCAATGTAGCCAACGTCTATCTTTTGAAGTTTGGCAAGTCGTCGTCTTCGTTTATTGATAACGAAATGTTGTCGAATGTAGGTGGATCATTTCGGAAGAAAAATTCGTGGATTTTTCCTCGGAATAATGCCTTAGTTTCTTGTGATACGTCCAAAACTACTCTGGCTCTAAGGTAACCTTTGGGAGGAGAAAGACTGTTACTTCTTTTGTACTCTGCCAAAATTTTATATACACTGCTACTTGATGCTCCTGAAAACAAATTAATACATTTTGCAAATCTTATATATACATGCATTCTTAAATAATAAAAATAATTGAAAATAAGTTTTAAAAATCAAAATGTGTGCAACAGAAGTAGCTATCATATTACTGGGTAAGATATTTAACAGAAAATAACTATTATTTAGAATAATGCATCAAACTACAAAACATTTTAAATTATACTTCAAAGGTAAATCCTCACCTGATGCCCTTGAAGCAAAGGCTACAAGGTCTGTCTGAGTTTCATTGGGATAGTGGTCCCGAGAAGCTATATAAATATTTATAATAGTTTCTTTTTCAGAAACCGATAAAGCCCTTTTTGTCCATTTTCTTGGTAATTGGCACTCGTCTAATAAGGCACTCATCTCGAAATATCCTTTTAAAAGTTGTCACACAAAAATAAATGAAGCACACAAAAAACTGCACGTCACCAACCATCAGTAAAAATTAAAGTGCTATTGTGAACTTGGCGCCTTATCTACAGAAAACGGACCAATAGGAACAAGGCGCGTGCCGTCAGATGATTTATTACTCTGTAGGTTCGTTGGATAAATTATAGACTCTATAAGACTATCCATAACAAGTTTTTCCCCAAAATCATTGCTCAACACATTCGCAATGTTATGATGTTTATGACAATATTCATGTTAGTTACAACTAAGTGTAACTATAAAATTATGTGAGACTCCATCTTAGATAATGTCTGTGTATATTGAGTTGCTAGTATCTCTAATAGGTATAATATTACATTGTAATAAGGATAACTCTGTTAAAACTTTATTGATGGATAAATTGTAGATTACAAAAAGTATGTCTGACAATTTATTATGAGCTATTATAAAATTATATGTTTGTAGGGATCTTCAATAAATTTGTACAAAGATATATTTTTTTAGTTGCTTCTGGCATATTTATCTTCAAAAGGTTAAGTTCTTTGTTAGATAAATTATTTTGAGTATTATGCATAGTATTTTACTGTAATTTATTAAATATCAATCCTATGTTACTCCAAAATACTTAGACACACTATTTATAGACATGGAAATCTACAATAAGGATTTTTTCGCGAGATCCCGTAGTGAACCGGAGCGGGAACAGATGGAATTTCCCCTTCGTCTTGAAGTTTTGACAGTTTCAAGTTCAACCGGGAGTGGTTAGGTGGCGCATGTTGTGCATAATGTTTGCTTTAAGTTCCTTGATAAACTTACCTGCCTGTTTGAATCTGAAATAACAAGACCGATCGTTTTTTGTGCAATGTACATATGCGAGCCCCTTCCCACTTCAGTTGGCCCACTTCAAGATTTTTACCAAAATATACCTTGCAAGTGCTAAATCCCAGTTTGTGGACCTCTCTATGAGTTGTGGACCTCGAAATTCTCCTTCCAACAGCGTCACTCCACAGTAATTGTAAATAACTGGCACGCCTGTATTTCACGATTATTCTGTGATATTACTTTTATTCACATATCGTGGCTTAATATTAACTGAACCAGTTACGTTATATCTTCTAACAATATTTCTCACACTGTACCGCGATAAGTCTAACAAAGTTGCAATTTCTGAGTTTGATTTCCCAGAATTACAAAATTTAATTATAAGTAACCGAATTTTCTCACTAATAACCTTTCCTCTACCCATTTTGAAAACCTTTACCCAAAACTATTTTAAACGTATTCTGACAGCTGTGATTAATAAAAACAATTGTCGTGGCTTTTATTTTTCAAAGCCACCTATGCGTTATAGACTTATTTTGCATTGAAATGAAAATAGGTTGATATGATGTAATTGCAACATGTGTTATTTTTATGCTGCAAATTTGATTAGGGAGTGATAAAGTTGGTGTTTTCTACTATATATTAGCAAAATATTCATTGTTAATATTTTAAACCCATAACATCCTGCTATATTTTTATTATTTGTGTTTGATGAGAAAAAAACTAAGATTTCAATAGTTGGGCCAACTGAAGTGGGAAGGGGCTCGTATATCAATGAAATCAATCATTTGATATGAAAAGTGCGGTTCATATATCTTCGATGACCTTCTTCCTCGTCATTTAAAATCAGATGGACATAATAATAATAATAATAATAATAATAATTAACGTCTTTTATTTGTAATATCTAACATGTTCCTCCATTTATGATTTAATAATTTAACTCAATTTTCAGCACTGCGAAGACAAATTTTCAATTGAGATGTCTGTTTTTAAATGACATTGACATAAGACCTGTCACCCGCTAGTACCTCACAGACGTTAGGCGGGTACCCGTACCACGTGATTTCTTGACATTCGGACGACGTCACATTCGTCTTCCCCTATTCGTTCTTCGCGAAAATTTGAGTATCGGTTCCCGGTAGTGCACTGTGCTACACCGTGGACTCGCGAAAAAATCCTTAATATAAATTTATGTTTATGTGCAAATTGGGCGCATCAATTGGAATCTTTGTATTGGTTCATTAGTTCAATGCTTTATGTTTGAAACTTAAAACCAGAAACATGTTTGAAAATAGGATTCAAAATTCACGAAAATGTAGATCTAGACAAAAATTTCGGTCCGAGTGAAGATAACATGGCCACGCCAGACAACTGTTGAAATGTATTCTTCTAGACTCTAGAAGACTTGAAGACTATCCCTAGCGAAATGTTTGCCGAAAACGTTGCACAACACTTAAAATTCAACTCAACTGAAAGTTGGAAAATTAATTGCCGCTTTGACGTTCTAAATGGCCCGTCGGTACCCCGGGATAGACATCCGTCTTGAGAGATGCCTATAATCAAATCCAAGCGGATAACCAAAATTTCCGTATTATGTACCGCGGTTATAATATGGTTCAAGATGACACACGGGATAATTGCGTCGGTTACTCGAATTGCTTGAACGCGTTGGTTTTAACCGCGGTTTGTTGCAAGTTGTTTATTTTAGAAAAGCGCGTATATAATTTCTGATTCTTTTTATTATCACTTAATAATCGGTGCTTTTTTGTCTACAACAAAAATGTTTACTGATGGAACCATGGCTTTGTAGCTATAATAACTTTCAATTCTCTAAACTTTTCCGCATGTCAAAGAAAATATTTATTGATTCAGCAGAAATGATGAAAAAGCGATGAAAAAAAGATATTAACAAAACCGTATACAGGTGGACATCATCCAGTGAGTTTATACGGCCATATTTTAATATTCTTGTGGTATATGGCTATACAGGATATTTTGTTAAGCGTAGGAACTAGATTTAAAGTGTCCCCAACAACAGTAATGATTATAAATAATATTTCTACCCTACTGAGCGAGGGCCGTTTCAAATGCTTGTTCCGGAAGTTGTTGTATCCAGTATACAACTTCTTCCCGTCCAAGTGATTGTGCAGGCGTGAAGGAATATCTCAGTACCGATTGCCGGGTGGCGGTACAAGTCCGCCAACGGGCCACTTTAAGTCTATTTAATATCACTAACACGTAAAAAGAAGGTGGTAGACAAGGACCAGTCGACCGAGCTAGCTTTTCCCAGGGTCTTATAAATGTCCGCATGTTTCCACACCTAAGCTATGCAGTCGGTTATCTACCAAAACAAAGAAATTAATGATGATGGATCCTTCGAGCACTAAGAACTCCGGACGTAAACTCACTCCACTCTCGGAATGTCCGGGTGGAGGGTGGGCCCGAGGGAACAACATCGAAGATAAAATTTGTTTTTCGAACATCTGCGGAATCAACAGCAACATTGATGCTGTTCATCACTACCTGGAATCCAATCGTCCCGCCGTGCTTTTCTTGGCGGAGACAAAAATCTCACAGACTGCACCGATTAACCATCTCAACTTCCCAAACTACGAGGTGCACTCCAATCTGAGAAAGAACGGGGGAGTTGTGGCTTTTGTCCGCAGCAGTCTTTCCTGCTCCAGGGATCTTTCTTTGGAATCAGACCGGAAGGACATTCGCCTCAACTCCAAAACATCACCCAAATTTATGTGCTGCCTTTATCGCTCTCCCTCGAACCATAACTGGGATGACCTACTCGAATACCTCGCCGTCCAGATCGACTTCCTGAACATCAATCACCCCGCTTCAGAGGTAGTTCTTCTCGGTGATTTCAATGCCCATAATGAGCTTTGGTTGGGCTCAAATAAGACCGATGCAGCAGGTCGTGCAGTCGAAGCGTTCGCTCTTACTCAAGGGCTGACCCAGCTGGTGACGAGCCCTACTTTTTCCCCCGCGTCTCGTCACACGCCAGTAGCCTGCTAGATCTCTTTCTGACCACGCATCCTGTCCTTTACAGCACTGCTGTCCTGTCCCCCCTGGGTAACTCAGATCACGGTGTTGTGGAGGTTAGGTTTCGGTCAGAAGCCGCTGTGGCAGCAGAAACTCGTACAGGCCGCAAAACTTGGCATTACGGACATGCCGACTGGGAGGGGCTCAGAGACTTTTTCTCTAGCTTTCCGTGGAGAGATGTCTGTTTCACTGAGGCGGATGCGTCGACTGTCTATTCTTCGATAACCGAAATTATGCACGTCGGAATGGAGGAATACATCCCTTACACAGTGAAAGTTCCTAAACCAGGGTCCAACGGCTGGTTCAACAAATCGTGTGACATTGCTCGCCAGCAGAAGATCAAGGCACACAGAACTTACTTACAAGACCCCACTGTAGAGAACAGACAAGCCGACGTCGAGTCCAGAAACAAATATAACGAAGCCGTTCGCAATGCCAAAAACCAGCATCATATAAAAGTTAGGCACAGGGTAATGTCGCAGCGCAATGGCAGTCGGTCTTTCTGGACGCTGGCCAAGCAGATTGAAAAGAACTTCTCACACAGTAGCCTTCCACCACTTACGTGTCAGGATGGAACTATTGTATTCGACTCAAAGGCCAAGGCGGAAGTGCTAGCCAAGATCTTTGCTGCCAACTCCACCATGGACGTCCCCACTAACGCCCAAGTGCCGTCAATTCAAAGGGTTCCCCACACTATGCGGGGTTTTAACATTCAGGCATAAGACCGTAAGACGAGTGCTCTTGTCGTTCGACATCAACAAAGCTTCTGGTCCGGACTTGATTCCTGCCATTGTACTGAAGAGATGTGCAGCGGAGGTTGCTCCAGTTCTTTCGCGTCTCTTCCAGATATCTTATGAATCCGGCACCTTCCCAGAAAAGTGGAAATTTGCTCATGTACAGCCCATCCCAAAAAAAGGATCTAAGACCGACCCTTACAACTACAGGGCTATAGCTCTGCTTTCTGTTACAAGTGAAGTGATGGAGAGGTGCATAAATCGCGAGCTTCTGGACTACCTCGAACGTCACAGCTTGATTAGCGACAGGCAGTACGGTTTCCGGCACCAACGATCCACAGGGGACCTACTAGCTTACGTCACGCAACTGTGGAGTAAACTCATCCAGTCTCATGGTGAGGCTCATGTCGTTGCTCTTGACATCACGAAAGCGTTCAATCAGCTGTGGCACGCTGCCCTCTTAA